TATTTATAATCAGAATAATTAATATTTTTTGATTATTATTTTCAATTAAATTATCATCCCCTCCTGTATTAACCTAAACATTATCAGGATCAAAAAGACCTAAATCATCAGGATTAACATCTGTGTACTGATGTGGAAAGTTTTCAATTTAATCTGAAGGAGAAACAAATGATTTTTTTTAATGCCAACATATGTTTAACTTCTTTTAGAAATAGAATTCTAAAAATAGCTAAACATTATAAAGAACAAATTATTTTTATTCCAAAAAATCAATCTAATCTAATTAATTATAATGCATAATATTTGCTTGGTTACATCCTTACCATGAATAACCATACTAATTATTTGAGCAATGAAAGAACTCCCTATAATTGCACCTGAATATTATAATCCAAAGCTAAAAGAATCATTTCATAAATAGATTTATTCACACTCCCATTCTAATAATAAAGGGATTGCAGGCAAAATGAAAAATCCTTACAAAGTAGCCATAGCAAGCATCATTCCATAATTTTGTAAGTAGCATCCCCATAGAAATCTATAGAAAGTAAAAATAGTAAAAAAAATCTAGTATAATTATAATTGGTTTATATTTTCCCCAAATTTTATATATTATAGGAATAATTAATGAACTAAAAAATCCTCCTATTACAGGCATAATTGATAAAATTACAATATCTGATTTACCATATCCATAAGGTTTCAAAATATATATTAATATAAAGATGCAGAAAGTGTGATTATTAATATATCTTCACTATAGATATAACTTAACTTTATTGAATTATATTAATCTTACTTCAACAGCCATAGGATTGCAAGTGGCATAGACTGCTGTATTACATAATTCTGCCATTGTGAATAAAAATAATATTGCAAATCTCTTAATATATAGTCGATATGCATAGTATAAACTAGATTGAAAATCAATATAGTTGTTTATTTAATCTAATTGATCAAGATTTTATTGAGAATTATAATCCATCATTAAGTTTTATAATGATTATTAAATTTTATAAGTCAATATTTTTAATATTATTTATAAATAAATCATAATTCATCATGTTAATTCATAATTTCTTCAATAAACTATTTCATCTATTTTGCTTATCTTTATTTATTATATTTTATTTATTCAACTGAGTTTCCATCTTTATAAAATAAAATCATTGTTGGAAATCCACTAATACTTACAGTAGGAACCTAATGCTGAGTCCAATCCATCTCTGCTATTAAAACATCCTTATTTCCTCTAAATAAGACTGCTAATTCTTCATATTCTTTTGCCATATTTTTACAATGTCCACACCAAGGAGCATAAAATTTTACTAATACATGTTACTTACTCTTTATTACAATATCTTAGAATGTATCAGATGTTAAACTTATAACTTTTCCATTATTAATTAAAGTCTCATAATTATTTTTTATATGCAATTATTCATTTATAAATTCTACTAATTTTTCTATGGATCTTTACTAAGAATCATATTTTATAATCTGTCTTCCTTTTGGAGTAATATAAAATATTTAAGGATAAGAATTCATATTAAATCCTTCAAATTAATTCTTTGTTGCATCTGTTCTACAGAATATTATTTTATTTTCAAAAAGAGGATTTATTTATTCAAATAATTAATTTGCTGCTTTAGAATGTTCACAATTTGGAGAATAAAATAAGAATAGAACTGGTTTTTCATTATTCAAAATCAATTTATCAAAATTTGAATTATCTATTTCATTACCAGATGTTTAAGGAAAAGACCCTTACTAAAATTTTGTAAATGGAATATTTTCTTCTATATATTATGAAATGGCCTCTTCTGACAATTCTCCTTTATAAATCACTAAATTAACTAATCCATCTTATTTCAAATATATATAAACAGAAGGAATCTCTTCAACTATTATTTCTCTTATTGGCTTTAGACTTCTATTTTATTTAGCAAAAACCAAATTATTTCTGTGCTGATATTTAATTGATAAATCATTAAAAATATCATTAAAACCAAAACATAAATCACAAGCATTCTTTTCATTAAATAAGATAATATGATTTGGATTTTTATTAATTTAAATCTAATAGTTTAATGGAATTAAATCATGAACATATCCATCTCCTTCCCAAAATGATTCTGTATATATTTATATTTATTCAACTATCTTTCTAAATGTAGGGATAGAACCTTCATCATAAGGTAAACTTACTGTATATTTTGTATATAAATTATAATAGTAAATTCTTTTATATTCTAATGATTATCCAACAAAATATTAAAATCTTCTTACAGTCAATTCATTTTTTGTATTAATCAATATAAATCTTAACTTACCCTTGAATTCTTATGCAACTATCTCATAATAACTTTTTATATAATCATTAAATTAATTAGGATCTAAAACCATACCAATTATTGGTATTTCTTCAGCTTCCACTTTTTTAAATTCTTCCTCAGTTAAAGAAAAAACCAAAGGATAAGCATTTTTATCTATAAAGTCATAAAATTCTTCTAATTATCCATTAAAATATATTTCTTTGGATAATGCTTTATTGGTTATAAATGCTTAATGAATTTTAGGATTTATCTATTGATTAATTATTCCAAATTTAATTTAAGGCATTTTAATGGCAATATCAGCTATCTCATTAATAGTATAATATGATAAAACTGCAATATTAGACCTTTTAATAAATAAGTCAATCTAAATTATATATCACTTTAATTACATCTTTTTATAAATCCAATTATGTAATTAATCCATACGAATGTTGTAAAGTATACTCAAATAATAATTCCAAATCATTATCATTAGGAAATACAGATTTTTCACCCTCATTATACATATAAGCAGCTGGATATGATGTACTATTCATTCTAATTGAAAGTGCTCTATTCTCACATGCTATTACTTCAGCCACATATATTTCATATTCTCTTAATCTTTTTGCTAATTCAATGAAAGTGGATTTCAACTGTAAACTAATTATAGAATTTATTATTTTATACCATAAATTGCAACCATAAGTTGTAAAAAGAACAATTAATTTTGGATATTTTGCTATTGCATAATCATAATTATTTCTATCCAATAATAATAGACCATCATTTTCATCTATTTTTTCTTTGAGTCTATTTTAACCATTAATTGAAAGGAACAAAATAATTAAAATGGCAATTACTTTCATTTTTAATAAGTATTAGTAATTATTTTAAATATAAAATTCCTAATTTAAAAGGAGATTTAAAATATTCTTAAATTATTAATATTCATAATCAATACTATGGTAACTTTTCTTCTTATGACATGGAAGCTGTTACATACTTTTTAGATTTCTTTTGAATTTATTATGAATTTAAATTTCCAGAATCAAAAGCTGAATCTATTATTTTTGATTTAGAATCAAATAACATATTTGATTGAAGCTATAATTAATTATTAGGTATATCATCAAATATTTTATATTTTCTTGTATGTGTTAATGCACCTGAATCAAAAAATTAATCTTTTTGTTATTTAATTGGATGTAAATGTTCATTTAGTATATCATCTGTAGGTTTATTTTAAGTTTCCTATATTTAACCAATCTTATTTTTATTTTCAATAACCTAGAAATCTTCTGATTTATTTTTTTATATTTAATAATTATTATGTTCTTTATTAAATAGTTATTTAGGTAGTTCTCCTTTTCTTGAAGCTGATGGCCTTAAATATTTATCTAATATTTAATCATTATCTTTGGATATCTCTGGACGTTGAGTATTACCAAAATCTTTTGGAATTGATTATTTAAAACCAAAAAAATTATGTGATTCAGACTTGGTAAGTTTAAAATCATAATCATTTTAATTTTTGAAATTCTAATTTTCAGGTTTATTTTATTTAAAATTTGATTAAGTTAATGTAGCATCAGGTTTTTTTCCAGTATAAAATTCATAATTAGAGATTTCTGCCTTTTTAAGTTATTTAAATTATGGTACTGAGGCTACTTATTAAAATGTTTCTTCTTCTTGAGATGGAGCAGGAACTATATTAATTTATGGAATATCTGGCAAAACTTATTATTCAATAGGTTTTGATTTTAATAATTCAGCAGATTTAATAATTTCTGGGGTTGGTTATCTAATAGTAATAAGACGATAATCTGGTGATTTACTAATCATTACTTTAAATGGCAAAAGAGGACAATATTTAATGAATAATTCAGATGGGATATTCTCTTCTGAACTTTTAATCCTTTTTTTCAAACAGAATATATCTTAATTGTTATATTAAAATTTTTATTTGTTCATAAAATTGATTAAACTAATTATATTTATTGTATAAATACTTTTGAGTTGATATGAATTTTTGTTTATCTTCTAAGAGTGTACAAAATTGTTTGCCATTTTCTTTATATTTTTCAAATAAGATCATTCTTATAGGTTCAGCTTATTTAAAGTACATTACTTCAATCTTAAATAATCGTTATAATTATTGTAATATATCAGATATAATTTGTTCATTGATATTGTCATGAATTTTAGTATCTAGAAACATATCATAAGGACATATTAATTAATAAAAGTCATCCCAATTAATATATGAATTATCAGAAGAATATAATTAAAATAAGCAATCCAATTCTCTTTCATTTATATTTTACATAAAATTTCTAAAAGTTAAATAGAAATTTACAAAAATACCTAAACAAATTAATAATGTCACATCTCATGATTCCTTTTGTATTTGTAATTAATAAATTATAGATTGTTCTGGCTTAGAAATGGGGAGTTATACTCAATTTTATTCTTTATTCTTCTAACTGATAAGTATTATGGTCTCATACTTGAGTTTCAAAATGACTGGTCATTTTTAAGAGTTAAGCAACTTTGGTTAGGTATTCATTAGATAACATTTTTATTATTTAATCAATAAAATTATATGATAAATAAAATTAAGAGTCATCAAGAAATTTTATCTCTTACAATCCTAAATAAGTAGTAAGTCCCATTTAATTTTCAGATTTTGTGTATTCTTACCCTTTTCATGAATCTAGAAATTAATAAAAGATTTATTACTTTATCCATATCTTCTAATGAATCAATTAATTTTTATTGAGTAGCAAAATGTATGCCTTCTTTTTATTATATGAAATTAGTAGAAGAAGGTACAAATTAATGAAATGGTTCTTCTAAATCATTTTATATAATGGCATCAATTCTTCTTACATTAGATATGGTTTATCCAAGTAATCTACATAGAATAGAATTTTGGTTGCTGCCTATAGAATTTCTTCTTTATTTAATTCACCATCTCCATCTAAATCAACTTATTTGATCATTTCTTTAATGACAATTTTAAGTTAATATTTATCATTTTCATTTATGATATTTTACTTCAAAATATTAAAGATTTCTTTTTCACTTAATTTACCTGATCCATCTTCATCACATAAATCAAAAAAGACTATTCTATTTAAGTTAATTATAAATTACTTTTTAATTTTTCATCAATTGTATCATCTTTCAAAACTTCTAAACCTACTTTTAGTTCTTTATAATCAACAGTACCACTAGAATCTTCATCAAATACATAAAATAATTTTTCTGCTAGATTTTTGTCTGCTCCCAATCATAAAGAAAATAAGTAATCCTGAATATTATTCTCTATTTAATCCATTAGGAAAGTCTTTTACTTATTTTACAATGGATTACTACGATTAGATGAAATAGTTTATTATGGAATGGTTCTATTGCTATTAATAGTATTCTCTATTTTTGCAGATTGTATTCTATGATAATAATCAGTAGGTTATGGTCTAAATACAGAGATTGAGATGGAGGGGTTATAAATTTACATATAATTTATAAAAATAGAATAATCAAATAAATGAATATGATTCATTATGATCATCAATGTAAACACTTGCTTGATGTTTAGAGTTATCTAAATCAATAGGTTCAAATTTAATGATATCGACATTACCCATTTGTGTTACTTTATGAGATCTGAAATAAGATTTATATTATAAATACTGCTTAATTGCAATGATAATTCTAGTTATTTGTATGAAGTAACGTAAAAATATTAAAATTAAACCAATTGAATCATCAACTTCAATAATGTTTGTTTTTATTTATCTATATACAATTATAATACAAATAATTACGAATGCAATTCAAACACGTAATAAAGACTTATTAATATTAATATCAAGAGGAATGCTATTAAATCAATTATATTCCAATTATCCTTAAAGAAATACTAAGATTATATATAAAATTTTAAGATTACTTCTCTTTCTGCAATTATTCTTATACATATATCTATCATTATTGCTAATGTCAATATTATCTCTACTTCTATTACCATATTCTCCTTAAGACTTAATTATTTATTAAATAGCTTACTTTTATTCTGGATCAATTATTATCTAAATGTAAAAAGTTCATACATACACTAATATCATAATTGAGAGCAATACCTGCACTACAGAAAACATTAAGTAATGTTTGTGCATTCTTAAATTTGTCATCATATGTTTACAATTTTATTTCATTTTTAATTATATTATTATAAAAAAACTATGCTTTCAGATTACGAATTGTAATAACAGGCTCTTAAATAAAAATTAGCTAGATAACAAGCATAGGAATAAATCAATTCTTTAGAATCTAAACTCTAATGTAATATATTACTATATTCTAGAAATTATTTAAATTTAAAAAGAAATAGAAGAATAAGATTGTATTACATTATTTATTATGTAGTCTAATATTAAATTAAATGTGATGATTTATAGAAGAAACGAGAATAGTAAATGAAAGAAATTTAGAATTTAAGAGCATCTCAAGAAGCTGATTTATAAAGGTAGGTATAATCTAGTAAATTAAATTAGAACAAGGAATATGTATAATGAAATGTGGAAGATGGCTGAAAAATTTCAAAAGAAACAATAATAATTTATATATTAATAGAAACTTGATAAAGATTAATTAAAATCCTTTTAAGTTACTTAAACTTCAAAATAATCTCATTATGAAATGAATAAAGAATTAGTTGTCCCTCATAATCCATTTGTGTTATTATCTTAAGCATAAGGATTTTTAGATTCATAATATGATGCATATTATGAAACTAATTATCCAAAACTATTAGAAATTGTAGAAAAAGAAAGTTTGTATCCAAAAAGTCAAATCTAAATAACTTTTGTGAGTTTCAAACCAGACATGCCTACTTTAGAACAATTTGAAAAAAGAAGATATGAAGGAACAGTCAATTAAATACCTTTATCAATGTAATTACTAATAGATTTTTATGATTTTCCTACTTATAAATCAAATACTCTTATATATGAAGATTGTCCAACCATAGAATAAATTAGAGTAATATTATATAATATGATTTTAATTAGAGATAAGTTGGTTATGATTAGGAATTGAAATTAGCATATGAAGATTATTTCACAAATAAAACTTTTGGTAAAAAAGCTTGTTTTGTATTTGAAGTAGAAAATGACTTAAAATTTGTATATTATCTTTTGTTTAAAAATGCATATATTAGAGTATTAGATGCTATAACAGGTGAAAATTATGGATATTGTTAAATACCATTAAATTCATTAATAAGAGAGGATAAAAGTGATGTATTTTCAATTCAAGAAGTTTAAGTATTAAGTTATGATTGGACTATTACATATGGAATATTTACAATAACTATATAAAATATTGGAATTAGTTAAGATTCTAATGTTGCAACACTTACAAATTTTGATTAAAATGCATTTAGTTAAACTTTGAATATTTAATCACTATTATCAGTTACATAAAATGTATATTTTAATTAAGTTATGGATAATAAATCAAAAATTTAAACATAATATGTTAATTTATCAAAGATTACTTCAGATTCAGCTGTAAGATCAGAAGATAGAATTAAGATTAGAATTTCATAACTTAAACCATAATCATAAATATCATAAGCAAGAAAGAAAATAACTTCAGATAAACCTAAAGATCTAACTGAATATGGACATTAAGCAGTTGTAAATTTGAAAATTAATGATGTTGATGAAAGGATGCGTGTAAATGAAAGAATTAAATCTAAAAGATCAGATGTTCTTACTTATTTAAGTACAAAAGATGATTTTCTAAAATTATAAGCAGTAGAATTGAGTAGAAAATGGGATAGATATTAAATATTAAGTTCAGTATTACCATCTCATATGATACCAAATAATTTATATTTACCAGTAGGAGAGAAATGTATTTAATTTATTGAATATTAAAATGATACTGATGAAGATAAAATTATTACTGTAGAAATATCACCACCCATAATTACATATTTAGTAAATGGAGAAGAATTAGAATCAATATATGAAACAAAAGGTATTGCATTTCATTCAAGAGTTGAAGTTGAATAAGATTCATTTAAATGTCATGCATAATAAAAATGTATAATTGCTATTATATTCTATACTTTAATTGAATTTACAACTGAAATAGAAGTTGCTGTCTATTTAAAATAAAAGTAATAACCAATTTGTGGTTCATTATATAAAGTTATACCTAAATCTTAAGTTATTGATATGAATTTTGATTTTTATCGTTAACCTAATTCATAAATTGAATTATATTTACCTTAAGTCTTTTGTTTTTGTGAAATTAAATATAGAAAAACACCTATTATAATTTGTAATAGAGAAGAAGTTACTTTTGCAATTAATCCTGATGATATGAGAATTAAATTAGAATTGAAAACTGCTGATATTGGTAAATAAATAATACTTTTATTATTTTTCTATAGAGATAAACATTGTCATTATTTATTATTATCAATTTCTGTAAAAATTACAAGTTTAACTCTTATTAAATTATCAACTGTTATTGGTTAAGCAACATCATGTTAAACTGAATTTAAATCTGATAAAAAAAGATAAATTTATTTTCACAGTTTGAATCAAGATAAAATATGGTTTGAATCTCCATTTGATAAACCTATTTGGGTTGAATAGAATCAAATTACTATTATACCTTTTAAAGTATTTTAGATGACTTCAAATTCACATATTGTTAAAGTTAATGCTATGGATTCAACAACAAATGAAATGGTTTATTCTTGGCTCTTCCAAATAAGTTCTAATATGCCATAAATTAAAAGAGTTTTTACTTTTGATTGTTATTTTAGATAACCTCATCCTTTCAAAATTACATATGCTAATTCTTCTGGAAAAGTATTAAATTTAAATATTGTCTCTTCTTCTTATTTATTAAAGGTTTTTTAATCTTAAATCAAAATTTTGATTGGTGGAAAAGCTGAATTAGAGATTGCCTTTATGAAGGCTGAAGAATATCCCAGTTAAGATTTTAATGTAGTAGAAAAATAAAGAGAAATCCTATTATTCATATACGAAATTAAAAATAATATTTTTGAATGCTACTTATTTTAATTCAATTTATATGACAAAGAAAATGAAAACATTTCTTTAGAAACTACTGATTAGTTTAGAAAAAGACCTTTTTCAATATAATCTAAATAGTGAAATAAAAATGATTTATTGTTTTTACATTTATATAAATTTAAGTTTTATAAACTAATGGAATTCAATTCAACAGGCATTGTTGTTTAACCTCATCCTACAATTAAAAAAGATATATGGAATCAATTTGTTTGTGAATTCCCTAGATGTTCAAATTAATACAAATTACCTGAAAATCAAAAGGATAGATACAAATTCCTTTCAGCCTTGATGATTGCTAACATTTTTGACACATTGACAAGTTGGCAATAATTAAAAAAACTCTATGATATTTATGAGTTTTTGGGAAGGATTGCAAATGACAAAGACTATCCTCCATTAATGTAAAAACACATTTTAAATTTAATGAAATCATTTAATACACTAATAAGTAATTTACAACCATTTGATTCTCGTAAAATTGAAAATAATTATTAACACTATTAAAAGATATAAATAGTTTAAGAGTACCTCCAAAAATAAAGAAAATACATATATTCCTTATTAGATCATGAATAAGGAATAAATACACTTTTCAAATTATCGAGAGGAATAGCATTAAGTTTATATCTAAAACCTGATTATGAAAAGATTACTCCAGTATCAAGATTTATAACATCATTAAGTAGAGAAGAGATTATAAAGAAATTAAGTAGTGATGATTTAGAAATTAATCAAAAGAATCATTTTATTTTAGAAGATTATGAAATTGTAGCCATATCACATCTCCTTAGTTGTCCTATACATTTTTTTATTAATTATTTTGAACCAAAATGTAATTATCTCATAAAAAGAAGAATTCATTAATAATAAAGTGAAGAAAAAACTATAGCTTTTTTATTAGATATATAATAATCTAATTTTTAAGTTAGAATACTATCATCTACTCAAGATATTATACATATACAAAATATTATTAATTAAAGAAAATATTTATTTCAAACTAATTAACCAAAAGCTATTGTAGAATATTTATAATAAATTATTGAAAGTATATTAAATTAAGCTACACATGATTTTTCTAATCTTAATAAATTTTGGATTGTAAAAATGCTATAAATCATTAAATTAGGAGAAGCTTAAACATTAATTGCTAATAGATAAGCTATTAAAATTAGTGAATTATTTTCAAGAGAAAGTTATAATTTATTTTAACTTTTAAATTTAGATCCAAAAATGCATTAAGAATTTTTAATTAATTCTGAATAGAATCTAAAATAAACAGAAGAACTTATAGAAAATATAATTATATCCTAAGTAACTATGATTAGAGATTAAATAACAGAAATAGTTAATACATAAAAAAGACCTTAATCTATCTCTCAAAATCAAATAGTTTAAGGAGATAAAGTTTCAGTTCCAAGATATTTAGTTAACAATTCTTTGTTTTAATAATAAAATAATTAAACTCCAAATTATTTTTAATAATAAAAAAAATTAAATCTAGCTGGCAGATTAATAGCAAAAGATTTAGATAATGATTTACCAGAAAATTCAGATTCAAGTGAAAGAGATTTAAGAGATCGTAATATATAAGCTAATTCTATATAAAATTTACCTGTAACATGCAAAGAATATGATACTGAAGATGAAATTGAATTTAAAAGAGCTGATGATCTATAATAATCAGCAAATAAACAAATCTAAAAATATGATTATAATCCTTCTGATGAACATGCTTTAGTTAGACCACCAAAATATTAAACTTAAGATAATAAATAAAAAAATGATGTTATTTCTTAAAAAGTTTCTACAAGTTCATATAAATAAGTTCAATCTGAAAAGAAAAGATAAAAAAGTGTAGAAAATACAGATTTTGAAGCTAGTTTAAATTTATAAAATGATTATCTTGTTTCTAGTTAGAATAGAGCATCTATAATGAGAGCTCAATCTGATATAAATGTATTAAAACAATCAGCAAAACAAAGAGATAGTTTAGATTTTGAACCAAAGAAATAGATTATAAATTAAGTTAATAAAATGAGTAGTTCTTAAATCATGAGATCAAGTGTTAAATATGAATAAAAAGAGATAATTAATGAATTATATTAAAGTCATATTTCTGAAGTTATGAATGAATCCAAAAGTGAAATTAGCATGATTTAGAAATGGTTTTGTCCAATTTGTTTCACTGAAACCTATCAATAAGATTAAATTAGAAATCTTCATGATAATCATTAAGTTTGTAAGTCTTGTTTAGAAGATTGGATCAAAGTAATATTTATATTAAATTTTAGGTTAAATTTAATTCAGGACAATGGAATTTTAAATTTTTTAAATGTCCTATATAACTTATTGAAGGGGAAACTATGAAACCTTGTGAACATATTATTGAATAATAGGAAATTAAAAATGCCTTGACTCCTGATGAATTTAGTAAATTAACTGAAAGGGCTATGAAACATGGTATTATTGACATTATATGTCCAAATTAATCTTGTTAAGCAAGTATTAAAGGTATGCCTCCTTAAAATTAAAATGGATTTCTATGTCCATAATGTTAACATAAGATATGTTGGGTTTGCAAGTAAATTTATACTTCATTAATTAAAAATTTAGAAATTCAGATCATGGTGATTCAAAATGTCCATAAAGATTAGATGAAATAAAAGTAGCTTTACAAGATGAGAGAGTAAGTTGTTGTCCTGGATGTTTAGAAATTTATATGAAAAATGATGGTTGTGAACATGTTTCATGTACTAATTGTTTAATAGAATTTTGTTTTGCTTGTAGTGCTCATAGACCTCCAATTATTGCACATGGTATTTATAATTAAAATTTAAATTAGGGGCTCATTTTCATAGGGTTGGTTGTTAATATAGAGTTCCATGGTGGAAAGATTAATATAAAAAAATAGAAAATTTGGATGAAGAATATTTACCTGATGAATGTGAATATTGTAAACGAAATTAAAAACCATGTCCTCGTCCTATGTCTTTAGCTGATTTTAAGAATCTAGCTCATTTAAACTTTTGAAATATTTAAAAGTTATCAATCAGTACTAATTTTCATATTCATATATATAATAAATTAGAAATTTGGAATAGATTTTAAATTATAATCATTAGTATATTTTCAATACAGAAGTTATGGGATTTCTACAAAGTAAACAATCATTCTTAATTAAACCTTTGCAATCTTCACAATAAATATAATGCCCACAGGGTATAGCAACATATTCTCTATCTTTTTCAAAACATATTTAACATTTCTTATCATCCTTCATTGACTTTGTTAAATTTGTTTATTAAGTTATCTTCATTTCTATTTTCCATTATAATTATTTTATTTCTTTATTTTAAGGTAGCTCCTATAATTCCTCTTGCAATGTAAATAATTTATCAAGGTTTTTCTCTATAGCTTATAAATTCTTATCTGATGGTTAAAGCACTTTAATATTATCTATTATGGCATTTTTAGTTGACAAAAGTAATTTAGTTGATATTTGTGATTAAGTTTGTGATATTTAAACCTATTAAGTCTTGTCATCCATTTAGGATAAAACATTCATAATTCTTTTCTTATACTAATCCAATTTGATACTCTATTCAGATTTAGTAGTTTAATTAGAAAATGTTTTACTTATGTCTTTTTTAAGTCTATCAATACTTGTATGAGGAAGCTAAGTATGATTATTTTATTTCATATATAATAAATAAATATATTGTATTTTATTATCCATCTAATCTAAAAATGAGATTCTACTTTTGGATAATTGAAAATATATATATATATATAAATCATAAACTCAAATTCATTGATTTTCATCTTTAAAACATTTCTGCTTTAGTTATTCTAATTCATTTTTTAATTTTTGATTTTCTTCAATCAATTATTGGGATTTTAAATTCCAATTCTATTATAAATTTGAAATAAAACCTTTGATAAATCATCTAATTATGCAAAGGATTAAATAGAAATTATATTGAGTTATTTCAATAAATCCTATCTAATTAAATCTTATTCATCTAATTTTTAGATGTTAATTTAGGAATGTTATTTATTCTCTTCAATTTATTACATCAAATTCTACCTTATATATTTATTTACATTTAATTTTTAAGTATTTTATTCACTTTTTTTTTTAGAGTCTTATTATGCAGAATACATTTCATAAGTTGGGAGTGTAATCAACAATGCATAGATAAGAATTTCGTAAAAGAATTCTACTCCCTTACAAACTTATTAATTTAGATTACTTTTTCTAATGCAACTTCATCATTTAAAGGCTTAAAGAAAAAATCACTACTTTTTTTATCAATACCCATAAATTTGCTATCTATTTTTTACTACATTTCAGAATTTCATTACGTCCCATTTATGTTAAAAGTTTCCTAAACGAACATAAAATCTCTTGATCCAATTTGTATGTCCAGATTAAGCTTTCTTTAAATGTGCAGCTTTTGTTCTTGCTATCACTGGCCTAGCAAAGACCCTGACAATCAATGAGAAAACTTTGAATAAGGGCAACATTATTATTAACTATAATAAAATAGATAAATAAAATAATAATCAATTAACATGGTTAAATAGTTTTGTTCGAAAAGCTATAAAGAATAATAATTATTAATACTTTTTGAAGGTGGAGGAGAATTACTATAGACAATTTATCTTTCATTTGAAAGCAACCTGGATCGTTCCATTGTACTAACTGTAAATGAAGATTAATTATCATGAGATTAATCTCCTATTATATAACCATATTCTCTAATAAAATTAAAGAATTTCTAATCTAAAGGCTTTAAAAGTTTAATTTAGATGATATCACTTTTATTTCTAGGACTTCTCTCTTGTTCCTAGAAAGTTGTTGAGTTTATTTTAGAAAAAGATTAATCTGACTCTAAACCTGAAAACAATCTTTTTTAAAGAGAAAGATCCTATTTAGATTGCTAAGAAGATGATCTTTAATCTAAATTAGACTTAGTTGCATTTTGAAACACTTTAATTTAAATTCCCTATTCTCCATCTTCTATTTACATTCCTCTTGTATTTCTTTGTTAAAGATTGTAAATTTATTAAACTTATTAAATATTCTTATTTCCATGATTAGTTGGATTCTTTATAGGTTTAATATCATATTCTTATAAGGTTTTTTATTGCATTTTGTTAGATGCTGCAAATCTCTGTTAGTGCATTATTTTATTTATCTGAAAATAATATATTAAAAATTTAAAGTATTGTTAATCATGTAAACTTACTTTAAATTTACTGAAATTTTATAATTGACTTAATCATTTATATGAACAAGCATGTTCTTCTTTAATTGAATTATTTATATTTAATATTTACAAATAGAATCTCAGGATATCTAAAATAATAAGAAAAAGAATTTCATTTTATTATCACACTAAAATAAATAAATTTAATCTGAGATGATTCGTAATATTTTGAAATTTGGATTCTCAACCTCAACGTTAAATGAGGAACCAAAAAGTAAATTTAGCTTTTTCAAACTAATCGTTGGATCTGCAATTGGAGTTTATGGTTTTGATTAAGTAAGAAAATATCGTGAATATTTAACAAATACTTTCCTTACAAAAGAATAAATCAATGAATTAGTGTTAAAAAATATGACTAAATTCAAAGAATAATAATTAATTGCTCATCCAATTAATAACATTAATAATATTAAAAATAAAGAAAAAGTAGTTGTAGTTGGAGGAGGTAATAATGAAATTTTACATTTAGGAATAATTGGAATCTCATAAGCATTAAAATTATTAAGAATGGGATATAATGTAACTGTCATTGAATAAGCTAATACTGTTGCATCTGAATGTAGTGCTTTTAATGGAAATGTTTTTAATCCAATGTACTTTTTACCATTAGTCACAAGAGTAATTAAAAATAAATTAAAATTAGGATAATTTAATATATATGATAAAAAACATATTTGAAAAACCAGAGTTGACTACTGTTAGATTTAATATTAATGCTTTTTTAGAAACTAATTTTATTTAATGGGGAATTAATAGTTTATTATTGAGTATGACAGAGTATTATTATAAAATATAAAATTAGCTATGCTTAAATAGAAAATTCAAGAAAATAATTAAGAATTGGATCCTTAACTTTGTAAGATGTTGAAAAGTTAAGACCTTCAGGATTATTTAAGGGACATTTAATTGCAAAAGGATAATTGGGATTTTTTGCTTCTGATTAAAAAGTAGAGTCATATAGAGATAGATTAGTATTATTAGGAATCCCTCATATTAAAGTTGATTCTTTTGAATAAATTGAATAATTTACAAAATCAGATTTAAAAACTGAATCAAATTTGAAACTCTTCAATAGATTTAAAAAAGCATTAATATTAATTACTGAATCTAATTTGGAAACTAGAGAATTAACACAAACTATGTTAAAGTATTGTTAAGAGAACTTTCCAAATCAATTTGCTATTGCATTTTCAACTACTGCTTAAAATTTTGTATTAGATACAGATAAAAATGTCAAAGGAATTCAAACTAATAAAGGGTATATTTTAATGTAATATATATTTTAGAATAGTTTTAGGAGATAGTTTTGTTATATGTTTAGCACATAAAAGTAAATAGTTAGCACATAAATTAAAATTAAATCTTCCAATAGTACCAGCTAAAGGTTGGGCTATGGGAAGAACTGCTCCATAAAATTTCAATTAGACTTTAGTTAAAGAATTTACTTTAAATACACCAAATTATTTTGCTACAAATCTTAATGGACATTTAAGATTAGCAGGATGTGCTGAGGTTTGCAATGATACTCCATCAACTGATGCAAGTAGTGAATGGGGAGCTATTTAAATATTAAATAGATTTAATGAACAAAATGGATTTGACTTTAAAATGAGTGATTTTACAGTTAGAAGTTGTTTTAGACCATTAACACCAGATGATGTTGCAATAATTAGTGAAGTGCCTGGATTTAAAAATGTATTTATAAATGCAGGACATGGATCAAGAGGTATGAGTTATTGTTTCGGAGCAGCTGATATAATGAGTTAAGTTATGGAAGGATCTAAGGAATTTGAAGATTACAGTGTAAAGAGGTATTATTTTATATGATTTAATAATATATTAATAAATATTCGTTAAATTTAATGCAAAAAAAAAAAGGACATTCTAAGAATCTTTCAAAATAAGCTATTGATTTAATTAATTACTATAATAACTTAAGGACATCAATAACTAATGAATTTGCCATGATGAATTTGAATAAAAAAACCTCATTATATATAGCTGATCAACGTAATTCATTTAGTAATACTAATAGCAATTGCTGAGGAAGATGTTGAAGATTCTCCAATTAGACTAAAAAGAAATTGCTCTAAGACAGAACATATTAATATCAATATTTATACATAAACATATGATTTAGATGAGGAATTACAATAAGATGTAAAATAGTTAAAATAAACTTTGAATTAAAGTACAAATTATCTTATACAATTAGGAATAACTTAATTAAATAGTATAATAAATCAATCGGAAAAAATGAAAAGTCAGAAAAATTAAAATAATAAAGAAAATTAATGTTAAAATAATCAAAATTTTTTCAATAAGATATCCATCTAAAAAAGAGTTTGAAAAAAAAAAAATATGTTTCAATTGTTAATTATTTAGTAGTCATTTTATAATTAAATAACTCCTCAATCACTCATTTTAATATATAATAAATTATAAAGAACTAAATTATTATTATAAAAATAATTAGTTCTATAAATTTTTGTAATATTATTTTTTTGGCTAATACCAATTTCATAAAGTCTTTGGTAAATAAGAAGATTTAATTATTAAAAGTTTCCATTATAATTCTCAAAATTCACACAATCTTTCTGAAAATAATATCAATATTATTAAAAATACATAAAAGCAATATTCTATTTACAGGTTTTTCATTTTCTTATAGAGTATATATATAGTTTTATTCAACCTTCTTAATCTAAAATAATAATTGCTATCAATAAAAATTGTATCACTTAGTTTTAATTCTAAATAATATCTCTAGATTTATAAATTCAATATTATTGCAAAATTTCAGCATCAATTTGATCATTCTTTAAATTAATCATTTTCCATATATTAATTCATATCCAATTAGCAAAATTTTTCAGTGAACCCAACTTTAATTATATTATTTGTTTAGGTGCATTATATATTAAATAGTCTATTGTTTTTTTACTTATAATTTAATTCAAATATAATTTCGACTATCAAAATGACATAGTCTTTCTATTTAATATTATCCTTAAAAGGATATTAGTATATTAAATCAGGATAAGAAAAATTTTATTTAAAAATATAAAATAATTTAACTTAATTAATCACATAATTATTCTTGCTAAAATGAGATTTATAAATGATAAAACTAGACAATTATTATTTGATTTAATTTTTTTTAATTTGATGAAACTATATATAATAACTCATTATTATCTCTTGATAAATTTTAGTTTCTTAACTTTGAATTGCTTTATATCAAAACATTCAGTTTTTAATTATAATGAAATTTTTTAATGACCTCAAATGGAAGTTTGATGAAAAAGGGTTAGAAGAGAAATATTAGATAGATAAAGCAAATGAAATCAAAAAGCCAGTCTTTTAATTTATACTTTTGCTTTCTTTCTGTTCCAATGTTACAGTATTAGCACTACATTTTTTTGTTACACCTATAGAAACTTGGTATATAAATGCTATATTAACTGCCCTTACAATAATTTAAGTTATAATTATACTTATATTTAAACAACTTCAATATATATAAATTGGATTAACATTTAGCAGTATTACTATAGGAATTTTATAACTGAATGTTGACCCTTTAAATACTACATAGAGTGAATTTTATGTATATGGGTGTATATTTATGTAATTTCAAGCAGTTTTATTTATGATTTCCAATTTAAATCATGCCTTTTTTTAAGTAATTTGTAGCTTGGCTATAAGAACATCAATTACTTCAATATATTCAAATAGACCAGATTATTTATCTATATTTGTAGGTGCTTTTGGATGTATATTAATTCTAATAGCAATATATGTAAATGATAAAAATTCTAGAAGATATTTTATATAAAATTTGAAAGAGAACAATCTAAGAAGATTAGGAAAATTTTTATTAAGCAAACCATATATTAAAATATAATTTATTGAAGATTAATAGATTTTTTAATTGCTAAGTTAAAGTCGAATTAACAAGTTTCCAGGATATAATTCAGAATTATGTTATGGTTGTAATTCAAGAAATATTTTAAGAAATTACAAATCTGATATTGGAAGATTAGAATAGATTTTATTAAATTAGCCATAATTGATTAAATTTGGCAGTGTTTTAATAGTAAAATGTGAAAAAGTTAGATTTATAATAAAAGTTTGTGCTATAGATCCATAATAGCGCTAATATTTAATTATTTTTTAAGAATATATATAAACAATTGTAAAGGTTTTAGAATAAGAAAAAGAATAAATAAAATTAAAAGATTTCTTAAAATAAAATCAAGGGTTTTATCATTAAAAAGTATTTAATTTAGGGGCATTTAGTGTATTATTTTTAAATAAATAAGTTCTTAAGAGAATTGAGTTCAAAGAACTATTGTAAAAAATTATAAGAATATATTAAAGTAAATTTTTCCCTAATATTGAAATCGAAATATAAGTTTAAGATACTTAACTATATATTTGTTAATATTTACATTAATTAAGAATCTTCTTAATTTAAATCTTTGAAATTATATCAGAAATCACTTTAAAAGATAAAGAGAAAGTTCTCATTTATATTAATCAAAATCTAAATAATATTGAAATGAAGTTAGAAGGATTGAATTAATAACTATTTGAATAATAATACAATTAAAATTATTTTATAAGAAAGATTTAAAGTGTATTATTGGATTATTACAAATTTAATGAAGATGATTCAACTTTTTTATTCATAAATTATCCATTGGGAACATTCTATTAAAAAAATAAGTGAAGATAAATTACTGAAATACGAATATCATCATCAAAAAGTAAAATATTATATAATTTTTAATTGTTTCTTTTATCAATTTTAATATAATGAAAATATGATTAATAAAATATAAAATCTTTATTGAAATGACTCTAATCTCTGTGAAATAATATTAAATTTAAAGTTTTTTGATCTAGTTTCTTAAGATATTTTAATTTATCTGAAAAATTAGTATGAATTAATTTTAAAATTGAATATAATTGAAAGTCAAAATTGATTCTTATTATAATTAATAATTTATTTATTATCAATTATAATTAATGCTTTTTTAAAACTAATTCAATTTTTGATTAATCAATTCTATTTTTTATATGGAAATAGTAAGAAAAAGATGAAATACAATTTATTTATGTATCTATTGGAAAATCTTTAAAACAAATATTTTTTAAATTTGAAAGGTTATAATTCCAAAATCAGAAACAAGGAAAAAGTAATAATATTTCAAAGAATTATGGATAGATAATGGTTTGAAATATATGAATAGGGAAATGGATATAAATATGTTTGATATAAAAATAAAAATATGATATTTTTAGAAAAGAATATAAATGTATAGATTTAAGTTAATATAATTTATATAATGAAATAATAATAACCACTAAAAGGAATACCAAACATTAGATCACAATATTATGTTGCTGCTTAAGCATTGAATTCTTAATTATCTTCTAAGATTAGCAAGACTAAGTCAAGTTACATAGATGATTCAAATAAAAGTAAATATAAAAATCAAAATCATTAGTTAAAGATTATTCTTATTTTTAATTATCAACATAGAAAACATAGCCAAAAACAACAGCTAAGAGAGTAAATGTAAGCCTAGATTAACCAAAACAAGATGATTCAACAGTTTTACCTCCATTAAGAAAAGAAATATTGAGATCAAGATAATCATAACCTACTGTCACTAAAAGTAAATAATAATAAAGAAATAATTCGCCTTTACTTCCATTAGAAAGCATTCCTGTAATAGAACCATCAAAAATTTCGCAAAAAAATATAGGGATTGTATGTGCATATGCAGCTAATACTCACTAAGGTCTAGTTAGATAATATAACGAAGACAGAGTTTCAATTATTTTAAATTTAATGAGACCTAATTCTAATACAAGTTAAGGATATTGGCCTTAGAGTTCATTTTTTGCAGTTTATGATGGTCATGGTGGACCATAATGTGCAGATTTTATGAGAGATAATTTACATTAATATGTAACAATAATGATATGAAATAGATTATTAAAGAAGATTGTTTTCCTAATAATCCTAAACTTGCTATTGAAAGAGGAGTTTCAAAAGCAGAGAAAACTTATTTAGAAATGGCTGATCAAAAAGTTTTAGATAAGTCTGGATGTTGTGCAGTATTTGCATTATTTGTAGATAACAATTGTTATGTGGCAAATATAGGTGATTCTAGAGCAGTAATTTCTTAAAGTGGAAAAGGGAAATCAATAACAGTTGATCATAAACCATCAACTTAAGAAGAATAATAAAGAATAACTAAATTTGGAGGATAAATTTATTAAACATAACTTTAATAATTAAATGGTGAAATTTAATTAGGACCACATAGAGTTTTACCAGGAAGATTAGCTGTTTCAAGAACATTTGGAGATGCTGAAGCTAAATTAACTAAATATGGAGGAATTCCTAATGTTATTTCAGCTGAACCAGATATATTTTAGTTATAAATTACGGATTAAGATTTTTTGATTTTAGCATGTAATTTTATCATTTGATTAAGGTGATGGTATATATGATAAAATGAGCACTGAAGAAGTAATTTAATGTGCTTGGAATGTGTAAACATCAAATATTCATATTTTTGGAGGAAAGGCTGTAGAAGCTATTATGAGATAGTCATTATAAAGAAAAACATTCGATAATATAACAGCTGTATTTATCGGTTTTCCTTAACTAGAGAAAAAGTTAAAAAATAAATCATAAATTTAACAATGATACTGTATTTCAATCCATTATCTTTTGTTACATAATTTAATCTTTATATTTATCAATATACTTAGGTTTGAGTTCAGTCTTTAAACGAGATCGATTTACAATATTAAACCTTTAGTGGTTTTAACGAATTAAAAACTTTAAATTCTTTTTAATTATTATTAAGCAATATCGATATATGGTTTTTAAGCGATATTATTTTAATACTTCATTGATGTTCCACTCTGGGTCGAAATAAATGTAATTTTGGATTACATCAATATCAAAATTTTAATTTATAATTAAATGTATTTCTTTTTATTTAACCATTGTTTAAGATTTAATTCTTCTAGCTTACATCATTTAATAATATTCAATTAAGAATTAATTATACATAGTTTTTTATTTTTAATTCCTAGTTCTCAAGAATTTAACTTTAGGTCTCCTTAATTTTAAAGATATGTAATGAAATTATTAACAATATTTTATTATGTGACCTTTACGATTGCAACCATAACATTTAATATCTAAATCTAGATAATCATTATTTTCTAGTTTTTGTTTTATCATATGAAATTTTTAGAATTGTTCATAATTCAACTATTAAATAAATTATTATCTAGATAATTTAACTAAATTAGTAGTTTCAGTTGTTATGAGTTCAGCTGTTCTTGGAATATTGGAGAAAAAATTGATTATTCCAAAACATTTATCTGCATATTCAAGATGTATATTATTGGCCATAACAGAGACTTTACCTTAAATAATATAATAAATATGATGCTCGTCATTAATTTTAGTTTCAGGAGGAAGTACTTAAAATAGTGAATAAACATACTATATTCATTTAATTTTATAGCTTTAGTCATTGTAACAGGAAGTGTTTTGAAGAATCTTAAATTCATTTAAGTGATAACTTGATTTCTTAATTCTTCTGAGAGATCACATATAATTAATGAGGATCTCACTTCATAATCATTTTCTACTACCCATTCTAAATAATTTTAAATTTTATGTCTCAAATGACCTGAACAACCATGAATTTTAGTGTATTTATTAATGATTTATTGTTTCATAATCAATTCTGATAATTAAGGATCTTGATATTGAAATATAGAAATCATGCTATTTGCTGTATATCCAAATACACCTGAAGCTAAAACCATTGCAAAAATAGCATAGATTTATTCTTCTGCTGTCTCTGGATGGACATCTCCATAACCAACAGTGATCATTGTTGTAATTCTAAATTATCATTTCTTATATATATAATACGTAAAATAGAAGGATGTTAAGTAATCATAACCATCTTGATTTGTTAAATTAAATATACAGGCACTCCAATGAGCTAAAACTACTATTATAAATGTTAATTTGATAAATTCCATAAAAGATGAGAAGTCATTTCCTAAAAATGTCTCTAATCTTCTTATTAAGAGCTTCAATTTAAAAGCTTTAATCATTTTGATTACTTTAAGAAATTTGAAGAATCTCAACATTCTAATCATTTACACATTGCCTCCCTACCATAATGCTGATATTTACTTCAACAAAATAATCATATGGTAATGAGCTAATTAAATCCAACCAAAACCAGAATTTTAGATAATTACAGATAATGGTTGATCTCTTTAATATTATTTTACCATCAATATATATAGCACAATTAAATTGAATAAGAATATCCACTAAGAAGAAATTATCCATAATTTCCATGAATAAAGAAGTTCTATCATCAACAATCTCAAAGGATAAAATAAGAGGTATGATCATCATTTGAATTACTATAAAAAGCATCGAGATAATATCCCAAACTAATCTAAAAGGATGGTTGGGTTACCATGGAGGAGGAATGAGAGTTGTTTTAACTTTTTGTTTTGTTTCTGTTTCGTTTTTTCTAAGAAACGTATGAAAATCATGAGTGTAATCTTCCCTTAATTATTTTTCAATATTCATATTAAATATAATAGTTTTTAAAGCACAATTCATCAATAAAATACTATCAAACAAAAGAATGTCATCAAATTTAAAATTAATCCTTGGCAAACAGAACTATCTAAATCACAGTCTACTTAAGCTAACTGATATTATACAGCAGCCATAGCCCAACTTGGTGTTTAAGAATTTATTACTAAAGGAGCATTAATATCCCTAATTTATATAAATATCATTTACATTGTGTCTGGAATATTGTATCCAATGGATAATAATTAATGAACATAAAGTGATAAGAAAAAATTAGTGGCTACATATGGATTTGAAGAATAAGTAGTATTACCTTAAACTTATGACCAACTCATTTTACAGAATTCTTAAGCTTATTTTAATAATTAAGGTAACTATTTTAATCCATTTACGTTATACTTTAAATGTACTAAGTTAAAGAAAGTTAGCAACTGTTGCCACTCCACTTATAGCATAAATAGAATATGAGGATGGTAACTAAGGTTAATCTATAGTATTGATTCCACATAAATCATCTTTTACTGTTCGACATTAACTATTTAAGAAAGATTATATTAAGGCTTAACATTATTCTATATTACCACTCCCTGATAAAGTGTACTAAACTTTTTAATAAGTCCATTAAGAACTGTAACCTTAATGATAACATGGACTTATAACTTATGTACCAATAATGCTTTTTGCAAGAACAGCATCTCTGGCTTAATCATTACCATAACCAAGATAAGATATGGCATATAAATTAATTTCTTCATCTGGCATTGTTAAAGTCACAATGTCTGATTCATATTAGATGTAATCCACTTTGAATGCAATCTAAGTAGAGGCTCCACCCAAATCTATTGTGATTAAACTTCCATCAGTATTCCCCAAAAGATACTTTACTCCTAACCAAAGATATGTAGCCTATGCGTTTTTCAAAATTACAGTTACCTCATCTTGACCTGATATTATTCTAGCCCAGTTATCATTTTGAAACAAATAACCACTCATGCTCAGTTACTTTCTGATCTCATCTATAAGTGCATTTGATTTATTGATATCTAATAATCTCATTCCAGCTGTTGCCCCCATAAAAATTGGTGTATATTCTTTTTGTGTTACAGGCACTTTAGAATTAATAAATTCAAATATGGGTGTTAAATATGCTTAAATCTCATCTGGATATTTTGTAGATACACCTGGACTTGTCTTTAGTTATTGTGACTAATAAATTTTTAAATTCAATTTACTTCTTAAGTGATGTCGGTTAGAGGATAAATTTTGTTTGTTCTACATGGCCAAGAATATATTGTTGTTTTTGTGCTAGAAGATCCACAATCCAAAATTACACCATAACAAGTCTCATCTGCCTAAAGAAATCTTTATCCTAAACAAAGTGAAGGTAAAAGTAAATATAAAAACATCTTTTATTTATTTAAATATTAACATTATCAAATTCTATTGCTCCTTATCATGTCTTTTAAATAATATAAAATTTATTAAATGATATTACATTCATCTTTAATATTATTATTTGTAAATTTACCTCATATTATCTTCAGAATAATCAATTAAATAATCTAAAGTATATAAAACATCAAATTTGTAAAATCAGAACACTATTATAATTAATTTTATTATCAATTAGAATAAACCTTAATACTATTAAAGGATTTAATTATATTATTCCCCTTTTTCTTTTGAAATCTATAATGTTATTTGAAGTCCCAAAAATCAATCATATTATTATCTCAAATATTCTTATTTAAAAGATAATAGTAATACATGTATGTAAGATTAAAAATAATTGTAAAATTGAATAATTTTCTTAAATTTTTTTTAACATCTTTCTTTTAAAATGGAATTAATCTTCTTTTAAATCCTTCTTTCAAGAACAATAATATTATCATAACATATTAGAGAATATTATGAAATTATTAATATTTTAGTTTTATTAATTTATTTATACAAGGCTTATTTTGTCAATAAAATGTACTAATTTAGATCTTCCATATATTATGAACCAAGTGATAGCGGCAGTGTCAAGTCGGTTTAGGTTGGAAATGCCAAATAAGATTAAGTTAGATATCTTACAGATTAATTATAAGCAGTCATTATGTTTAACGAAAAGCTAGAAAAAGAAATTAATTCCTTAAAACAATAAAACCAATAATTAAAATAATCTGTTGTAGATAAAGATAGATAAATTTAAGACACTCAAGAATCCTAATAAAAAACCATTAGTAAATTGCAGTAATATAATCGTTTATACTTTTAGTGTTCTATTATCAGAAAACAAAAAATTGTAAGAAATCGTTATTTCTACAAATAAAAACTTAAAAAATTCCAATAACAAAGTCTAATAACTTTAACAAGAAAATACAGTTTTAAAATAAACAATGCAATAATAAGAAGAATACCATGTAGAAGAAATGAAAAAAAGAGCTAATGAACTTGAAGAACATTATTAATTGATGTAAAATATTGTTTCTGATTTAACATAATAAGTTTCATAATTATGTGAGGAAAAATAAAGACTTTAAAATGAATTAGACGAAAAAAATAAATTACAACCAAAATGAATGTTTATTATTTTGATAAAATTGATTAAAAAATTATAATAATGTTTTTAATCTTTAAAAAAATACATAATCAAATTATGTATAACTTATAGATTTTAATTTATATACTGAGAATCAGAAATTGTATAAGATATCTGTATATTTTATAATACTTTTTTATTATATTTATCTATTAATAGCATAATTAATTAAATTCAATATTTAATTTATTGAATTTTCATAAAGTAATAAATATAAGGTTCAAATAAAACAATTAAATATAGTTAGTCTTAATAAAATAAGAATAAAAGCAAAAATGCTTCAAAAATTATCACAATTCTTATTCATTGTAAATAATAATCTAATTTTCTATCAACTTCTCTAATATTACTTAAATTTGTTAAATTTAATATTTTTTTAATTTTATCAACTATTCTTAAATACACTTCTTAATCCACTATTAGACAAGCTCCTTTATGATTCAACTCACCTTTATTACATCTAAAATATTTGCATAATGTTAAGACTATATCCTTAAATTTAAAATAAAACTTACTTCATTTTATTATGCTTATTTTTTATGTTCTAAATATGATTATAAAATTTATTTGATAAATTTCCAAACTTCCTTTAAACTTGGATCTGATTAACAAAAATAATCTTAAGGGGCACATTAAATAACAAGATCTTTTAAACATCTAATAAATTTTTCGTTTTCTTTAAACTATTATTTTAAAGATTTCACTCCTTCAATAACCTCCTGATTTAATAGACTAAAGCTTGAATTTATATTTTTGCTATCTATAGTTAAGTTAAGCTCATCTGCTAATTTTTTAAAAGTTTTTTCAAATTGTGTTAAATCACATTTCTCTATTACAGAAATCTAATTATTAATTGAGAGATTATTAAATTCAAGATTTTATTTGAGTTCATGAAGCTATTGTCTAAATTGATCTACTTTAGCCAATAAAGCTTTATTTTCTCTTTCAAGTTATGAACACATACACTCTTTTTTAGATATAAAGTGTTAAGGGTTAGCTAATAATATAATAAATTCAAATATTACATTAAATAAGAGGTTTTTCTTATCTTATATCAATTAATTTTCTAATATCTTTTTGATTTTTTTTTATAGATATTATTTCTTTATTTTTTAATTAGATTTCTTATCTACATTCCTACAATTATTATTCATAGATTTCAATTTATCTGACTTGTTATTATATAATCTTATTTTTTTCATTTATTTATAAATCTATTTATTGAGTCATATTTTTCAAAGTGCTTGTTAATTATTTTTATAGTTCATCAATTAATTTATCTTTTGCTTCAATTTTTTAATATAATTCACCATAAAATTTACAAGGAGACATCTATGATTGAATAGATAGTTCAGTTATTTTTGAGAGATCTATACATTCTTATAATTCATTAATAACACTACTAAAATAAATTAATATTAGAAATTACTTTTAAGATTTTCGAGTAATAACAGTATCACAACTTTCAAATCTGAATTTAGGTGATAAAAATCCAGGATCATTTTCTTTTTAAGAAATACTATGTTATCTTTTAGTTTTTAAAGGTTATAATTATGACTAATCTATGTTATTTCCGAAAGTATTTAATGCTTTTGTAAAATAATCATGTTCATATGATTTAGATCTAATATGCATAGGTATTGATTCAATTTTATTGTTTTAAGATTCATAGTTTTAGAGAACATTAATTTCTGGTTGTTTAGTGTTATATTAAAATTCTTTCTTTTTCTAAGGAACATAAGTAAGTCTATTGTCACAATCAGTTTAGTATTGGACTTACATATTTTGTATTTATTTCAAATTTATTTTACAATAATTTGATCAACTGATATTATATTATTTTTATTTAATATTCATTGATTTGCTAAGCCCCCTACAAAGCAAGCTGCTGTAATTCTTGCTTAGGTATTTATATTCAATTTGATGTCACTAAGATCCTTATCTATATTTTCTACATAATCTATTATAAAATTAATAATCCCTTGAACACTGTATTTTTCTAAATGAGAATCTAAAATCAAGAAACTTATGTCATATCCCTAAAAATGATAAGATAAAAAACTTACAGGGATTGGTTTCCTTCTTAATATTTCAAAATAATCAGCCCTTACAGCTAGATACTTGGCAAATTTCTCACCTATTAATCTATCAACTTCATCTAAAGCTTTGATTGAAAAGCTTATCTATAGATTCTATAATATAGAATTACTCTTGTTGAATTAATTGAAGGTTCAATAACACATTTTTCTTTTTCACTTCTACATAAATATATAGGTGACAAAACTAATTGTCTAGTTTTGGATGAATAACTAAATATTAATAGAAATGAATATTATTACCCATTCAATTCAATTTCTGGTTTACTTTATTTTTCAATAATTTCTGATGGAAATGCTCTTAAACATAATGTAGCCTCTAGTGTTTTTCTGATGGCATCTGAATAGACTTGAACTGCAGCTGCCATTAGTATATTTTTTTATTAAATTTATATATATTTTCAGTATTAGATTTAAATATGTAATTTAATCATAGGTATTATAACTATAATATTGATATAAGACTCATCAGACACCTCTATTTAAATTAAGTTGAAATTTTAAAGAAGTTGCAAAGATTTTATATTTAAGATAAATAATATTTGATTGAATAGAGCAAATTAAGAAATGAGTATTTAAAGAACTTAATATATAAAAATTCTAAACAAAATAATTATGAATAGTTTTGATACTGAAAATTTAATCTATTGAATTCTAATTAGAGTAAAATAGAGTAATTAATAAAATAAATATTAGATTTTTCAGATTTATAAGTTATAAATCAATTTCATAATTCTATTTGTAGTATGATTGAAGTAAGTAGAGTAGTTATAAAGATAAAATTTGTAATTAATATTAAAAGTATGTAGAAGTAGAAGAAATGAATAAAAAATATAGTCTAATAATTAAATAAAAGAAATTTTAGAATTTTAATGAAGCTTTCGTTTAAATATATTATTACTAAATTTGAATACCAAAATTATTTAGGATCTAATGAATTTAAAAGTAAATCAAAAAGCATATCAGTTGACCCTCCAAAAATATTCTTAAGATAATATTAATTATATTTAAATATTAAAAACAGATAGATAAATAAAGTTTTTGATATATTATAATTAAAGTTATAAAATATTAATAAAAATCAGAGTTTTGAACATAAAATAAATAAATTAATCATTATAAACCCAACATTCTATATTATGAGAGGCTATTTCCATATATTTATTTATCGTTAAACTAATATTCTGAACAACAATTTATAGCTAAGCCCAAACAATTTTGAAGGGTAAGGATAAAATTTTATTAAAATATTTAATTTCCAAATATAATTTAGTCTAAAGCTTTCATATAAAAGGAATATTAAATTTAATTTGCTAGTTTATATGCCTCAAATATTAATAAATATCTAGAGAATACAAAATAATTGAATAAATAATTTCTAAATGATATCAATTCTTCTGCCTGTTATGATGATATAGATTAACAATAAAGAATATATTGAAAGCAAATATATTTTTGTCTAAATTATATTAATATTTATATTATAATTTAAAAAATATTATAAAAAGAGGAAATGATTTGTTAATGCTTAATCGTAATATTTTATCATTTAAACAATCAATGATTTACAATAAACAAAAAAGCTGAAAAAATAGTAGATTAGCCTTATTTAGATGATTCTCCAATTATTTTTTAAGTATTATCCGTTATAAATCAATTTTATAAATTTTTCCTTACATTAATTTTTTAGATTGATTCTAAAAAGATATAATCAGCAGAGTCAACTTTAATTGTTGTTTTATCTTAATTTAATTTAAATTTGTATAAATCTTATTGATTATAGTTTAAACCTGGTAATTATAGTTGTATTCATCTTTTATTATATATAATATTTATTATTATATATTACCCAAAATTAGCTTTCATATAACCTTTATTCAATTAAAAAGTTATTAAATACCTTCCGATTAAGTATCATCCTCTCTCAAACATGCTTAATTATTAAGAATTAGCATTCGTATTAGGAATTAAGTCATCAGAGACATAATTTTGAAAATAATATATAGACTAATTATGCAGTTTTCATTACTGAGTACAGCATAACATTATTTGGTAATGATTAAATACCCACTAAATATCATTTATCAAACTATTAGATGAGATGAGAGAGATACAGATTTCTTTCAATATTATTCTAAAGGAAGATACAATAATTCTACTATTATATTTGCTGAACCATTACAACTATTAACAATCTCCCAAAAAATACTCATTTAACTTGTTCAAAGCAATCTAATATCATACTTTTATAGTATACCCATTTTAAATACTAAATTGCTCAGTATTAATCCCTTATTTCCTTTATTTAAAACTGAATATCTCTTGAGCAAAATTTTCATTTATTTAGAAAATTATGGGCATTTGCAATTCAAAAAAACATATTTAAAGTACTATGAACACTAATCCAACTTCATAATATTCATCCAATCCCTCGATTCTATAAAAAATAACTAATCAAAAAGAAAGCTATTAAAAACCAAATAGGAATTTTATTGTTTCTTCCGAACCTTAAAATTATGATCCAAAAAGTAACTAAATTTTCTTATAATAGATCCTCATCGATAATTTAATGTACTTATAAATGGAGTCAGATTTGAAATCATTAATTCGATAGAAGACTGTATTATTTCAAATGAAGAAATTGAAGAGTGAATAATTATTGAATGATGTTTATGTATATGATTATATGATTATATGACTAATTTTTATTAATTAGAATGGATTGAATTCTTATTCTTATTTATTTTAAAAGCTTGTGAAAACTTTTCATAAGATCTCTTTTAATGAAAAGTATTTATAAAATAGAAAAGCCTAAGTCGTAATGCATTATATTTCTTGAAAATTCAAGAAGAGACGAATTTTCGAAATTGTCAAGCTTAAATTGATTAATTATTTTCTATTTTGTTTCATTAAATTAAATTACTTGAATAAATATTTCAGAGATCAGCAATACTTCTTCTAATCAACTTTTATCTTCCCATTAAGCTTTCATCAGCTTGTTATTACTATAACAAAATAATCTAAAATATTTTTAGAATATAAACTTATGTTTAAAATGATTTTTTCAGGTTCTCCAATTAGTAAGAGTAGGCCTATTCTAATCTCTTCTTTTAATTTTCCATCATTTGACTGAATTACATATTATTAGTTTAGGAATGTATTTCTAATTTATCTAATAGGGCTTCTTATTCTCTTATAGTATTATTTTAAGATTAAATTATTAAATTTTACTTGTAATTTTCTTCCTTGAGTTCATTGTACTTTATTGTAAGCTAAACTTAATAAATATTTGAATACTTATTCAATAGAACTGCGTAGCTATAATATTTGGCATTTTTGATTTTCTAATTCATTTTCATATTCCTAAACAATAACATCATAATTATTTTGAAGTGATTTTTATTACAATTAATTCTCATTAAGATTTTGTTCTTATGAATTTTATAATTTTAATAATTCTATCTTTAATTTTTATATATCCTTCTCATTTTAATCAAGTATTGAGGTTTTATCTAATATTTCTAATTTTAACAATTAAATTTATGAAAGTTGATTATTTATTTATTCGTTAAGCTTTTTTTCTTTTTGAACTAATTCATCAATTTTAATAAGCACTTCTTACTTCTCTTTTCCATGTTGCTTTAATAATTTTGTATAATAATTCTAAATTTCTTCTATACGTAATTAATGTTATTCATTTAGTAAATCTTCTCTTTAAGGCTGTTCTTATTTTAGTTAATTGATTTCTTCTTAGTATTTATTAATCAATGAGAGAATGTCTTGAGATTCCTTCTTTAGATTTTAAATCTTTAAGTTGCTAATTTATTCTTCCTGATTTAACTGAGATCGATATTTTGAGTTAGTCTGAATTAATGATTCTATTTCAGCATTTTTTATAGCAATTATTTCTTTTAATTTGTTAATTTCCTATTCATTTATTTTCTACACTCCAATAAATCCTTATTTTTGTGTCTCCAATAGACTTTCATATTATTCTTTTGTTTTTGTTCTTATCAATTCTAATTACATTTAATGGTCTTTAAGTAAAATAGATTATTTATTTCTTATATTTTCTAATTCAGATCTTAAATGAACACAATCACAACTCATCTTTTTTTATGATAAATAATAAATGAAATTTTTTAGTATAATTTTTAATAACTATTAGTTATTTTTCTAATTCAAATAATAAAAGAACAAATAATAGAATATTTTTTGATCAAAAAACTTAAAAAGTTAAATGGAGTAGTTTTCATAAAAAATAATCAATTTTAATTTTATTTTTTTTCAAAATACTTAAGAATTAAGAATAAAACAATTAAAGAACGTTTGAGATACATATAAATTTATTATTCACTTTTTTGTAGTATCATATTCAGTTTACTCATACAATTCATCTTCTATAATCAATATTTGATTAGAAATACCACCCTTTGTATTTGATAATATATTTTTTATTTTTTCTGATTCTATTTATTAATTATAATTAAATATAATTGATAAAAATTATTAATTTATTCAAAACAATACTTATATATTAAATTATTGTCTCATATCAATTCTGAAAATATTTTTTTATAAGGATTCAATATTAGATATTCTTGTTTTCAAGTGCCTTTTAAAATTCTTAATTCTTTAATATAAAATATAGAGGATTCATTTAATTATAGTCTATTGTGTGATATATATATATATTTATTTAATATTCTTAACTAAAAAAAAGGTGTTTTTGTATTTAAATTTATTTCCGAATAATTATGAGGCATTTTGTTTATTTTTTTATATTTTAGGAAAACTTTCTTTTTTTAAATTACAAGTTATTGTAATATTGTGATTTATTGGCTATTTTCATTAGTAATTATATACAATAGACAAAATATTAATTCTTATACTTTATAAATTATTCAGCAAACATTGTATTTATTATTTTAAATTGATCATTCTTTGAAACTTATAATTTTGATATATATGAACAACAAGGCTTCATTTTATTATATTATAATTTATTTAAAATTAAGTAAATTAAAAAATAACGATTTCTTTATTCTGCAAAGAAAGTTAGATGATTTCTGAAGAAAGCAGGAGGATTTTAATTTTTTAATTTGAAAATAGGCTATTAATTATAATTAGATGATGATAGAAGAAGGATACTTATATCTCAACTAATTACATATGTTCTGATTGAATAATTTATTTTCTAAGCTATTATGGAAAATTAGCTGGCATAATCTGAAAAATTGTATAAACTTAATATAAATTATCAATATTAGTATCTGTAAATATTTCTACATATTAATAATTAAATTTATTTAAAAGAATGGGAGTTTGTGTTTCATAAGAAAAGAAAAATAAAAGCTTCAAATGTGCTACATAGTCTTAATTAAACCTTTAAAATTTTATGATAACTTAAGATAAATAAACGACTACTTTATATCACTCAACTAAAACTCAAGCATAAGTTTAACCAAGAGAATATGATTATACAAGTCATTAATATATAAATATCTTTAGATCCGCATCGATAATACAATGTATTACTAAATGGAGTTGTTTTTGCAGTTGTCAATTCTGTTGAAAGGTCTTTTAGCGACGAGCCAATCAATAATGAAGGTTGAGATATGTAATTTTATATTCTAAGAAAATTCTATCATCATATATCAGATTTTCAAATTTATACTATCTAGAATTCAAATATTATATTTGTTTCTATTCATTATATCTTTTAAATATCAATATTTTTAAACATATTATTACAAATCAATAGAATTAGATAGTATTAAAAGAGAATTATATAATTGTCAGAGAAAAGTAATCAAAAATTAGAGGATTATCAGATTATCTTTATTTTGAAATACAGATAATATCATTTTTCATATTTTATCACAAAAACATTTGATATATTCCAAATATACCAATAAAATATCTTGTGTATTTTGTAGAGAAAAAGCTTTCTTGTGGTTTCTCTTCAAGTTACCATAAACAAGCTTCTATTTAATTTAAATTTAATGATTCTTTATGGTTCATATTCTTCTTCTAAAGAATTATAGATTCTCTTAATATGTCTACATTTGTTTTGTTGAAAAAGGAACATAATTCTCTTACTATTAGGATTAAAGATATTTCTTGAATCCTAATAAATGAGAAGAGCTCAAAATAAGTTAAATTAAAGAGTGGTATTCTAATATTAATAAATCAATTACTTAATAATTTCTGTTGATAATAGAAATGATGCTTCTATGGAAAAAATAGCTAATATGACATATAAAACAGAATTGATTATCTTTTCATATTACTCTTAATAAAATAGTGGAAAAAATATTAAGAATACTCCTAATTAGAAATTAAACGCATTTATTATGTAGCCTTATTAGAAATGTTCTGATCTAAGAAGATTTAAATCATCATCTTATATGTTATACTTTTCGTAGAACAATATTCTTTCATTATTTTTTTCAATCTTTGGACATTCTATCTAATGACAACTAGGTGGTTTTGTTGCTAAGAAAATAAATATCTAAATTCCAATTATAATAGTAAATATTAAAATTCTTGATTTCTTGGAAAGTCCTCCAATAACAATATTTATTCCAATAGGAAGAAGGGTTAGATAATTTTGAAAATTCTTATCCATTAAATATAATTGATAATTTATTAATCTATAAATTAATACAATCCCTCTACATAATAATGCATATAAATGAAATAAAGATAAAGAAGAAACCTTGGAAATATACTAATTTCTAGTAAAATTTATAATATATATATATATATTGTATTTATTTAATTTCTTAGAAATCAAGATGTTAGATGATATTTCTAGTTCAAAAAGTTGTTTGGAACAAGATCTTGGACCTGATAATTAATCACATTTCTTAGAAAAGTATTTTTATGACTTAATTACTGATAATTGTGATTAAATATTAACAAATACTTTATATAGATCTTTAATTGAACAAATTTCAGATAAGAAAATATTAGAAACTATATTAACAAGATATATTTAGGATTAAATTGAATTACAATAACGTTAAAAGATTCATTCAAAATACTTTTTTGCCAAATCAGTAGTTCCATTTAAAAAATTAATCTAATAATTTAGATAATTATTAGTTCCAGAAGAAAATATTAGTCAGACAAGTAGTACATTAAGTTAATCATTTGAAAAAAAAAATAAAAGTGGACTTTGTTACAATTCAGAATTTATAGAACTATATGAAAATGAATACTTTAAAGAAATGAATGAACTTAACAAAGGAGAACTTATATACATAGATGTTAAGTTTCGTATTACAAATTCATAATTAAAAGAAGAACTATACAAAATCAAATCTCATATATTAAAATAATTACTTTATTAAACTAATACTGATGAAAAGTAGAAATTTATTATTATGACATAGTTTTTTTTAAACTTTTAATGATTATTATAGATTAAAAACAATCACAGTACTTCTGTTTGTTAATGGAGATATTAATTTTGATTATGAAAAATATTTTGACTTAAAAGAATTATATGTTGGTTAAAAGAAATTCTTGATCAAACTTAAAGTAAATCTTTTTTTTATTATATAGGTTTGTTATGTTTCAACAAATAGACTATATTCTAATTTTTGTATTTCAAATAACATTATTAGCCATACTATTACACAATAAAATATGGCATTTTATGAATTGAAAAGGTATGGTTAATGTAAAGTTATTATAAATAAAACTATTGGAGAATTAAGAAAAATGAAATAGAAAGCAAATTATAGCATTTTTAAAGATTATAGATTTTACATTTTAGCAATAGGGGGTATGACAGCTATTGGATTATTATGGAATACATTTTCTAAGAAAGAGATTTATGATAGAAAATTATTTAGATAATAATGAGTATACTGTTATTAATTTATAAATTTTATTTATTTAACTGCTAATAGAATGAACTAACCAAATCATGTTATTTCAGAGAATCTCGTGATTTCATAACCACTTTATGATAATGATTAAGCAGCATAATCTATATATGATAAATACTTAAAAGACTGTTCTTCGATACCAATCAGATTAATAGAAGAATCAAAAGAAACTTAAGAAAGACCCTTTGCAGGAACAAGATAAAGTAGTTAACAACAATAAAATTAAAGAAATGGACATAATATATAAGAATTTAGTTCTTTAGAAAGGGACTAAAGAAACAGAAACTAATAAAATATGTATTAAGCAAATTATTAGTAAGATTAACAATATCAATAATATCAAAATAATCAATTAAGATATCCTCATTAAAATATATATTATCATTAAAGATAACATAATTAATTATAACATTACTATTATGATTAATATCATTATCATTAATATAGAAGGAACTAATAAAATTATAGAATGGAATAAGAATATTATGGTCATCAAATGAGAAGGTAAGAATAAGGTCGAAGAAGAATGCATCCTTAACCAAAATATGGATTAGATTAAAATGAAATTGCTGCTTTGAGTGAGATTGTATATAGATAGAGTAGAGCTTCCTGTTGGGATGATGAAAACAAGAAATGCAGCATATGTATATCTCATTTTGAAGAAAATGAAAAAATTAGATTTTTGCCTTGTTTACATAGGTATTATTGTTAACTTATTTTTGATTTCATTCAGGGTGTGTTGATTCTTGGTTGTCCACTAAAGGATCATGTCCTTTATGTAAAAAGTATGTCCGATCCTTAGTTTAATAATTTTCATGAAACAAACACTATATATTATAATTACTACAAAATAATTTATTATTAGGATTAATAATTATTGATAAAGAAAATACAAGATAGAAATCATTTGTTTAAATTATCAGGAAAAAATTTCGTTTTTTAAGAAACAAATTTTCTTTTGACTTTTACTGGGAGTTGTAATTCATCCTCTTCTTTTATAACTTCTGTAGCTATTCTACCATTTTACATATTAATAACCTTCACACGTTTATAAAATTCAACTTTTCTTTAAGCATTTAAGTCATCTTAAAGTGAATTCTCAATATTTATCTATAATATTGGAGTTTCTAAGTTTGATTAACTTAAGTTTGAATTCTTTATTTTCCTGCTGAACCTATTTTAATTGGATCTTTAGGATTCTTAATTTGGAAAACTCTATTAATCCTCTATCATTTTAATAAACATTTGTGATTCTTTTCTTTATTTTTGAATCCCAGGTAATATGATATGAGAGTCACTGTGAGAATTTTATTGAGAAAAAATATTTTGCAATTAGACTTTAAGTTAATTGTGTTTTGATTCAGGCATAAGGTTTAATGGTTTATTAATTTGTTATGATGAGTTTTATTAAATTTTAGGGAATCGAATATTAATTTCTTATACTCTATCAGTCTATGCCCCTTATTGATAAATACCTTCTGGTTTATGATGTGTAAAAAATTCTTATTCTCTATCTTTATGTTATTCTAGATTATTAAGAAATGAAGTAGGCTTTAAAGACCTTAAAATTTAAGAATTAGATTAAGGAGTATATTCTACTTTTAAATCTGGCTATGAAGCTATTTTATGATGTTAAGTTAGCATAATTATTAATTATAAGTCAGAAAAAACTTGAAATTTATAATCTTATCAGATTATTGGATGATATATTTATTTATAATTTATAATACTAAAGTTTTATTTGCTGATATATTCAATTTTGTACTTTATATTATATACATTTAAAGATTAGATGATGGATTAAATGATTATAAAATATTTCTAATCTAAATTAAAATTATATATATATTTATCAATCCAGATTAAATATAAAAATACAAATTTAGCAATTAAAAATAATTGATTGACCATTATAATAAAATTCAAGAATTTTGTTCAATAATTTCATTATTCACACATTATTTATTTTGTCTCCTGGTTTTTTTATTTTTTATTTTATGTCTTCTTTTTTTAATACTTTTTGTAACTTTTCCAATTTTCTTCTTTACTGATAAAGGATTAGGTCCTTTTGCTGGCTTCTTTATTTTTATAGCTAGTTCTTAAGCTAATTTTCTTTCTTTTTCCATTCTTTTTTCTGCTTATTATTATTTAATTTCCTTCTTAATTGGCATAATAATTTATTTCTCTTATTCATTTGGCAAATATTTTAATTCTTTTAGATTCTAAATTCTCATTTTACAAGTCTTAGATGGTTCTGCCATTTCAAATAAATTGTTTTAAAAAAGATAACAAACAGGTACATGATCAATCTACAATAAATTTGATCTTAACTCATCATCTTAAGTACAAATCCAAAAATAATTGTTATCTCCTCCAAACTCTGGTTTTGGTTTCACTATATCTATTAAACATTCAGCTGGACTGACTCCTTCAATATGTTTGCAATTGATCTTAGATAATCCTTGAGCATATTTAAACACTCTTGGAAATAAATGTTATAAACTAGTTAATTCTCTGAGCACACAAATTGTTGTATGTTTCCAAATTTTAGCTTTTGTATATTTAAAAAGTTGCTATGATTTATGTATATAAATAAATTACTTTATCAAGATCAACATTATGATCAAGCATTTACTTTATAAAATTTCCATCAAAGACTAATTGATAAGGTGGCTAGAATGAAAAATTTATTCGATAGAAGGATAAATTCTTTTTGAAGCCTTTAGTCTTTTTAGCTTTCATTAAAAATTAAAATAAATTATAATAAAATTAGATGGATCAACAGCCTGAAAGAGTATTTGAAATAAAAAAATGGAATGCAGTTGCATTATGGAGTTGGGATATTAAAGTTGATAATTGTGCCATATGTAAAAATCATATAATGGAAAAATGTATTGAATGTGATGCATAAGAAGGATAAGGAGAATGTATTGTTGCTTGGGGAACATGTAATCATGTATCAAAGGTTTTTATTTAAGGCATATCATTTTCATTGTATAGAGAGATGGTTAAAAAATAGATAAACATGCCCATTAGATAATCGAAATTGGGAATATTAAAAATATGGATGAGTGTTATTATATATAATTAAATATAATGGATAGTAATTCCTATTATTAAATAAATATTTCATATCTTTATGATAATTTCTTAAAAAATTTTACTTAAATTCAAATACAATTCAATGGCTTTGTTTATATAATTCAAAAAAAAATAATAAAATATAAGAATTTACGTACAAATATTTATTGTAAATAACTCAAGCCAATGTAATAATAAATAATTGCAATAATAATGAAATACAATCTGAAATGTATTATGATCTATTCAAAAGATGAAGAAATTCTTTAATTTTTCATAATTCAAATATTCTATGATTAAATGAAATATCATTATGGAAAATAATATTTTACAAATTAATGATCATATAAAGGGTACTAAAGGTTCTTAATAAATCTGCAATAGAATTTCATTTTTTCCTCTTCTATCCTAATGTTTTATGAGATATTTTATTGCTTATTATAATGAGTCATTGCAATCTTAATTTAATTGTTTTCCAACATATTAAAATTATACGGAAGCTTCATTATATTTAACATAAATTGAACCTCTTTTATTACATCCTTAAAATATTTCAAATAAGATTCTATAAAAATGATATTTAAGTGTTTTGATATTTGAAAGTTATTGTATATCATAGATTATTGTTATTTTTTTATATAAAAATAGTTATTATACATGTTAGATAAGAGATTCTAATTTCTATTCAGAAATTTTGAATTTTTTATTTCTAAGTAATTTATAATTTAAAATCTATTTATAGCATATATTTCTTAAGAAACCTAAGCTTTAACAATCATTACGGCAAATCGATTTTTGAAGGTGTTAAAAAAAAAATTTATATAATTTAAACTAAGCCTGTTTATATTTATTAGGATTAGATTAAATTATTTTTGAGTTATTATTTAGAATATCTTCAGTAAATTAGACCAAAAAAATTGGTTGCTAATAATAGAAGATTGAATATGTAATTGCATACACTACTTTTTTGTTACTTATCATTATAGTATTTGATCCTTATTCATTACGAGACACTTTTTGATTTTCTTTAAAAAAGAAATCTTCTAAACTTTATGACTGATGATTTGTTGTTCGTAGAAAATTCTTAAGATCATTTGTGTTATTACATTAAAAATTCAAGGATTTTGACAACTTATGCTAAAATTCAATTTTTTCATTATCAAATGAAAACAATAGAAATGGTTGGTTAACTATTTTTGGTAAAATTTTTTCTATTTAATTTAATAATAAATTATACCCCATAAATTATCTTTTTAGCTCAATAGAAAATTGTTTCTACTCTGAAAATTTAATCTTCTTGAACAATAACATAAAAATAATATTAAAATACAAGTTGCTGCATATATATTATAAGAACGTTAAGTATCTGCTAAAATTGTGTTAATAAGTTTAAATGAAAACGTAGTAACAATTAAAAAATATGATTCAAAAACATCTAAAACTAAAATTATAAGTATATTGCAAATTGTAAAGCTATTAATAAATAATGGTAAAGCTGTAAGAGAAATATTTGCCATTAAGACTTATTCATAGGCCATCAAAGAGTAATTGAAAAAAAGTAAGGCAATTTGAATATATGTTCTTTTATATTTTACTAATATAAGTGACAATATAATATAAATTTGTGTAGCTATTATTGCAGGCATGTCACTATATAAAGAATAATAGCAATTTAGTATGAGTTTTATTATGCTGATAACTAACATTCCATAATGGCCAGACTTAAATATAGGCATTCTAAAATGTTAATTTCTCTATGATTAATATTCTAATTCAGATTAAACATCAAGGAACTTAAGACTATATTTCTTCATTTATTATTAGATATGAAACAAATTAAATGAATTATTATTAATCAAGAGATAAATAATACTTTAATTTTTATTGAATTTAGAATTATATCTAAGATTATAAAAGATGTAAAAAAAGAATTAAAATTATATATAGAGATAATAAATTACTTTTTTTTGTTTTATCAATTAAGTTCTATGAATAATTTAAAAGAATAAAATATTTGTTTTAATTTATTAATATTAAATATTACTTAAATAGCAATTAAAATGTATAGATAATAAATATTAATTTTTCTTAAGAATCTAATCAACATCATAAGATATAATTATAGCTAAATGGAACTAATAATTATTTAATGAGATAGATCTATAAAATATTGAAGATTTTAAGTAAATAAATTACCAGAAATTGAAAAATTTTGAAAGATTGCCTTAAGAATTTTAAATATTATGATATATATATATGGTGATAAATGATCTAATAATTTAAACAAAGCTTTATTGGATTTCTAAATAATTTTATTATTATTCAATAAATTATAGAAATTTACTAATAAACCACCAAATTTTAAAAAACTGACAACTATATAATTTAATCAAGCAGCTAATGTTTTCTATCTGAAAGTTGTTTTTCTTCTTTTTTATTAATCATTTATTTATTATGGATCTTAAATTTTTGTAATTTGATTTTACTCATCAATTACTATTAATGATTATTGAAATGTCACTTATCTCTTATTGCTATTAATTATTTTTTTTATTTTTCTACTAATGGTTTCTAACTCTGTATTCTATTACTCATCAGTTCTCAAGATCTCAGATTTTCTTAAGTCTTCCTTTTTATGGTTAGGAAAGGAGAAATTATTTTTATAAATTGAAGAGTTTTACAGACTTGGTAAGACACATTCACTTTTAACTATTTATTTATCATTTCCAATAGCAATTCTTCTTC